GCAAAGATTTCTGTTGTGTTCCATTATAAAACTACATTCACTAATTACTCATTACCGTCTTCCACGTATACACATCAGCATGATACATGATAGTTTTGAAGATGTGCAGTCGTGTGACTCTAAGAGCTTCCATCAACTGAGCGTTTCTTGGCGAAGAGGTGCGTGGGGTCCCTGTTGCGCAGGTTGGGCTGGATCTTGAACATGGGAGGCCAGCGGAAGCTGGTGTGGCCCTCAATCCCAGAAGGCCCAGCGGCAGCAGGTTCAGGTGGACAGGGCTTGTTTTGAAGCAGCTGGAAGAGTGTGGCCATGTCAGGTCCCAGTCTGGACACCAGCCCGGCTCGCACCACCTCCACGGTGTCTTCATCGCACTCCATCAAGCTCTGCAGAAGTGTGCTGTAGTACCTGCAACACCAAAGTATGATGCATTAGTATGCACTTTTGAGTAAGCTTATTATATAAAGGAATAGTTAATTCAAAATGTAAAATTCTGTTATTATTTAAACAAAAAATTGTAGTTTTTTTTTCTTTCTGAGAAACATACATTTTACTTATAGCCATTGCAGTTCAAAGTTACCATGTTTGTTAAGTTCCAAAAATGTAATAAGCTATTAAAACACCATAAAGCTCCATAAAATAAGTTTAACTTAAATTTTGGTCTGTTCCTCACACAAATTTATCATTTGGCACCAGAAGACTTAAAATATAGAACACAATATCCACCTTATTTTAAAACTGTAACTTTGAATGTGCGAGGCTTCCGGTGTCACTGGCTTCCAGTTATTTTAGCTGTACAAAAACAGCCGTTATGCTTCTTGCTATTGCAAACTATTATTTCTTATCATATATTTTATAATTTTAATGCATTATTTTAATGTACACTGCTTGAAACAAATAGTTCTTCAACCGTTTACTGCACTTTGTTATTTTAATTAATAAATCGGAAGTCTCGCGCATTCACAGAAAATAACTTCCTCGCAAAATAAGGTGGAGAGTGTATTATTGCATTTATTACCTTATATTGTACAGTATGTTGCATTAGGATTGTTAAAATTTGTTAACACCTTATACTTATTTTATCATATTTATTTTTATATTTTGTCACCGTTTATTTTGTTGTGTGTATCGTTGGTTTAAAGCAAAATTGCACACAAAAAAAAAACTGAACAAATCGTATGGACTTATTTATTGCTATTAACTACCATTGTATAGAAAAGATCTGCATTTTCTTTATTTCATGGAGGAAAAGAGTGAGTACATAATTAAAATGACCGAATTTTAATTTGCGTCTACTATCCCTTTAAGTCTAATATGGACCAATCACGCATGCCAAACAAGTTCGCGCGCTATATTACCTGTTTGGGAAGTGGCTGGGCACCTGGACCACGTCCCCAATGGCCTCAGGATTTGATCTGGCCACTTCGCAGATGTCAAGCCTCTTGTAGCATTCCTCCTGCACTTCAGCAATCATCTTCTGGAAGGTGGAACAGCGTTTGATGGTCTGGAAGACCTTAGTGGTGATACCGTTGGCGATGCACTTGATGCTTTCTTTCACAAACGTCTTACCCTGTAAAAAACGAATTGGACTTGCATTGCAAAACAAACGGAAAGTGAAAAAGGCATAATTTTGATTTACTAAGTAAAGGGTTCTGGTTCATGAGGCTTTGTACCTCTGTATTAAAAATCGCAGCAGTGTGGAGGAAGGCGTTGCAGATCTCATGCATGCCGTCAGTGTCGCAGGTCGAATTCTCCAGACATGCGAAAGTTGCGCAGCCCACCTGCAGAGCTCCGTTCAGACAGCGGGCAACCTCAGCTGGAGGAAGAAGAAAACGTTTTTGGTTAGTACTTTTTTTCAAAGAAGTGTAAAAGTGGACATTTTTTTCTATACAGGCAGTCCTGAAGCAACCTAGAGTTGCTTTGATCTTCTAATAATTTCTGGACATTTAACCATGCATACTCCTAAAAAAAAAAAAAAAGACAGTTCAATAAAGAAAATAATACTTACTGGGGCTGTTGGCAGAGAATCGCGCACGTCTAGGTTGTGCAGGTTCTTGATCTGTTCCAAATGCAGATGCAGCCAAAACGAGGAGTAAAACAAATCCGCTTTTCAGGAGCATGTCTGCACTTAGAACCAAAACTAGGATTCAAAACACGAGCTGTTTGCCGATTCTGTGGGTTTGTGTTTCAGGTTGATGACAGCCTCAGTTTTATACAGATCTTCAGCTGAGCTTGACGGCTCATAAATCCCCACAATCACCAATCAGACCGCAGGATCCGAAAGCTCTAACTTTCCATCTCTTCATAAATATTCATGGGCGGATGATTAATGCAGACCTACCTGCTATGATTTTAGCTCCAGTAAGACGTTTAAATTCGTTTTGAGTGCTGCCATCTATGGTGAAGATCAAAAAGCATTTAGATACTTAAAATTGTATTTATTCCAAATACTGTAAAGTTGCATCTTGCACTCTTAAAAATAAAGGTTCCAAAAGAAAATGTTTGCAGCAATAGCATTTTGGGTTTCCCAAAGAACCTTTAGGTGAGAAGTTCTTAAAATAACCTTTTTTTGTAAAGGCTGGGATAGGCTATACTACACGATTTTTGCCCCGATTTTCCGCCATTTTCTGTCTGGAGAAGTTGACGCTATAGTTGCCAAAAGTCAGAGCCCGTCTGCAGATTTGAGTTGACAGATTTCATAGAAAATCGTGTAGTGTATGATGGTCACAGACTCATCAGATTCCGTCCAGTCAGAGGAGATCAAACATGTTTGATATTTTCAGCCGATTTTAGAAAGCGCATATTGTTTTCATTTGTCACGCATCTCCTAGCAACAAGGCGCATATTTCTGCGTGAGTTTGTTGTGATCGGAACAACTTTAAAGTCTGGTAGTGTGTGATCCTCAATCGTTTAGTGTATGATGGCCAGTTTTCCTCTGTGACTATTACAAAGTCGTTAAGTGTATGATGCCCAGTGTTTTAAAATATGTTCAGATTTTAAAAGTCGTGAAGTATTCCAGCTTTTAGTGTGAAGATCTGAAGAACCTTCTTACACAAAGAACCTTTTATGCAACGGAAAGATTCCATTTATGTTAAAGGCTCTTCATTTATTTACTTTTAAGAGTGTAGCAAATCTAAACCGTCAAACCAACTATTATTTTTAAAAAAAATCAGATTTCTTATGATTCTAAATGATGCTTGGTTTACATTGTCAACTTGAGGACTTGTAACAGTGTAGAAGATAAATGATATTCCCCTCAGGCAGGTCACTCTCAATGGCTTCTTTGTTGAAAACAACTACAGTATGTTTGGTTTGGATTTCATATCACTGTGATTTTGTTTATGCACATCTCTCGTTTGCTTTTGGCTGCAGTACTAAAAGTTTCAGGGAGTTTTGTTGACACCTGGCACAGGTAATTGTGCTAAAGGTATACGAGCGGTTTTTGACAATGTCAAAGGACTTCATGAAAACAGACAAATGTAGCTTGTCAGAACTGGTCATGTAGTTGATTAAACATCTGTTCCCACCGTTTGCAGTGCTGGGTCTGACGAAGAAGCGTTTATCAGTGTCTAATCAGTGGATGTTGGAAAGGCTTTAGAGGAAGTGATGTTTTCCATGATGAATTTCATTAGCCTCAAGAAATTTCCTCCCCTAAAGGGTTAATTACACTGATAATGATCAAAGCGCTCACTGGTTTTGAAGGGGGCTGGAGACGTAGCTATTTTGGTTTTATTACCTTTGTTCACACAGACGTCTGTCTGTTACTACTGAAGTAGTGCAGGAAAGTCACACCCACATCTTTACTGGATAACATGAATGAGTAGTCTAAAGAATAAATTCACACACACCGTAGGCCTTTAATTTTCCAATTCTCCAGTGATTCTCAGACTACGTGGAAATGCTGATCAATCATTTGTCCTTCATGTGACATTGAAGTCATATTTTCCTGACTTTTAGTCAACTTACCTGAGACATTTAGGAGAAAAAGCTCAAATGTGATTATAACATCACCTGCAGCAGGTATGAAGTTTTTAGTTGTTATTTTTTTATTTTAATTTTTAAGCAGAAAATGTAAATGTTTGTAGCACAACATCAGTAAATTCAACCTGAGAATGCATCACCATTCAGTTTCCAAAAATGAGGAAGGAAAATATTCATAAAAGAAAGTATGCTCCAAAAGTCTGAGATGATTTTGGAAATCTGGGATATTTCCCCCCCCAATTTAAACCTGGAAATGAACAGAAAGTTTTAGGATTTTGAAAAGTAAAAAGGAAAGTTATGATGCATAAATTAATGAAAGAATAAATAAATGTATAAATATAAACATAAATGTAATGTACTATAAAAAAATGTAATATATAAAATACATACATTTATGATTTTTTAAATAAGTAATTTTTTTATGTCACTAATCAAATATAAGAAATTTAGTGACATTTAACATGTGATCAACTTTTTTCCTTTGAAGCACAAGAATCTCTGTTGGATATGATGGATCATCACTGCTGTCATAATAAAAATAGTAATAATCAAATAATTGATTAATAATAATAAGGGTTTAAAGGCCTAACAAATAGTAAAAAAACCTGGAGATTATAATGCAAATTTTCCAATTCAGTTCTTAACTGATTGCCATGCTGATATTATTTAATAACGACCAATTTTATATTAACTTAGAAAAAGTTTAAAGCATTTTAGTCTCAGACTTTTACACTTCATTGATGGCTTTAAATATATATATGATCAACACAAAGCAACAAACACATCATGACACTGCAGGCTTATCTATTAAAACTGAATGTTCATTCTATTATTATTTCATACAAGAGTTTGAAGTGAGTGTACAGAAGGAGTGCATACGACTGAAGGCGGTGGAAAATGCAGATGTTTTAGGATTAAGTAGATCAGGTTGGTAGTTATGAAGCTTGAGGAAGTTAAATGTGTCAAATATAGCCTAGTTATTCTCATCAGCGTTTGTGTGGTGCGTCAGATGGCGCTGCCTACATGCGGAAGAGAAAGCAAGGAACACCGGGAATGTCACGAATCAGAAACCTCCAGCCGTCGCGCTTCTCTGCTCATTCAGTCGGTGTATTTTACTCAAATGAGCTCAAGAACAAGGGCTTGGGCTGGTAACATGGGTTAGCTAAAGTCTGGTTGCGGTAAACTACGGTAAAATAATTCTGTATCTTTCGCGTCTCCGCCGGGAAAATGAAACGTATGCCCGGTTCGCTTCAGGTGCACGCCTCATCCAACGGGCATTTTATTACCATTATCTTCATCTCTAAGATCACAAACGACTGCCAACCCGATGCATCCCTTCAGTTCGCTTCGGTAAGGTTTTGCGCGTTCATAAATGCATGTGCTTGTGTGTAGGCTACATTAATTGCCCTCTTGAGCAGGACATTACGGCCGCGAGGAGTATTACATAAGTTCAGGGTTAAGGCTGTGTCTTAAAACCTAGTGAGCTGCCTACCTAGACAGTATTTGTCGGCACCGTATTTTTTTCAGCGCATTCTGAGCGCGTCTAATGATGCTGACGTCATACTTGACTCTGATTGGTCAGTAGCGACGCTTTGGCGTATAATTCCTTTTCTCGCCAAACTGGACACTTCGCCATTGTCCATAGCAACATAACAGCACTACTTTTATTTTTATCTTAACTTTTGAGAGATATTTAGAGAGGCAGTCCTACGGTGGCCGAGAAGTGCAAAGCAAATCACAATTCTGAAAACAAAATAACAAATTACAAACGCAAATGCAAGTCTAAAAAACAAAATAACAATTCAGAAAGCACATTGTGTTTTCTGACTTGTTATAATGTTTTCTGAATTGTTGTTGTGCTTTCTGAATTGTTATTTTGTTTTGTAGACTTGCATTTGCGTTTGTAATTTGTTATTTTGTTTTCAGAATTGTGATTTGCTTTGCACTTCTCGGCCACCGTACAGTCCCCAGTTAAAGCAGAAAAAACATTGTTCTAATAATTGTAAGTTATCGTAAAAATTTTCGCTAATAGTCTATAGAAAACTTAATCTTTTCTGTGCAGAGTAATAATAATATTTAATTTTGTTGCTATGATGTAATGGACTACTTTTTGTAGGAAGCTTAATGATTCTTAAAATTATCGCTGAACTGGATATTTCGCTGTTGTCCATAGCAACATTGGTGCTACTTTTATTTTGCTTGTAACTTTTGAGAGATATTTAAAAGGGGAGTCCCCAGTTAAAGCAGACAAAAATATCGTTATAAGAGTTTTAAGTTGTCGCCATTTTTTATTTTTTTATTTTTTTATAAAAAAGTAAAATTTTCTATTTTTGAATTCATTTTGTTGCTGCGATGTAAATGGACTATGCAGCAGAAGCTTAAAGATACTTAAAATGGACTCTAACCCAGATATTTCGCTGTTGTCCATAGCAACATAACAGCACTACTTTTATTTTTATCATAACTTTTGAGAGATATTTAGCAAACTGAGCCAAAATAGCTTTAACAATTATAATGGAATAGGGCAAAATACTGCATTGCAACTTATTGTTATATCACAAATTTTTATTGCCATCTAGTTATGAATTCTGTTATCATTTTGTATCTGGGATGTTATCATATATCTCAATAATCAATCTTTTGATTAATACCCATCTTGCTTGCACGTTGAATATGAGGACATAAAAAGTATATTTTTACAAATATCATTTACAGTATTCTTGATTGTGCAAAGAATTTATTCTCTTAAAGGGTTAGTTCACCCAAAAATGAAAATTAGCCTGTGTTTTACTCACCCTCAAAGCATCCTAGGTGTATGTGACTTTCTTCTTTCAGACGAATCCAATCCGAGTTATATTAAAAATTATTATGGCTCTTTCAAGCTTTATAATGGCAGTGAATGGCTGTTATTTTTCAGTAGTCCAAAAGAAGTCCAATAAAGCGCATCCATCCATCATAAAAAGTGTCCCAC